CGAGACAACCACGGCTAGAACGTCTCGCGCCTTCGTATTCGGTCCATTGGTGCCCAAGTTGGGGCACGGTCCCATGACCTTGTGGTCAGGAGAGTTATTATCGGCAGGGCCGAGCAAACACGAGCGCCCAAAAGAGGTATGTGTCGAGGGGACGATGGGGTCACGTGTGGCTGATAGTCTTGTCAAACGTCACTATACATTTTCCCCCGTACCTTTTTTTTTTTTACGGCACTCTTGACAGTTTTCGTTCAAGACGCCGATGTTGTCAATGTAGTCCCTCTATTCTTTTTTTGGCGCTTTCGCGATCCACACCCGCGTCAGAGCTTTTCGCGGGTGGCCGGCAGTAATCGGTGACGTCATCGCAGGTGAGCGGAAAAAAAAACGCATTCGACGTTTTGCTCAAAAGGCTCTTCCGGACGCCGTCTCCTGGATACATTTATAGCGATCCGATGTGCGGCACTCGAAAGATTTAGCCAGGTATAAAGGTCTAAGTTCATGTCGGTTTAACATTAGGATTTCAGGGCGGCAAGGAGGCAGTAGAGAAGCGAAACAGAGTACGCGATGATTTATTTTGCTTTAGTTTCGTTTTCCGTGCGTTTCGAACTTACTGTGGATGCCAACACGTGCAGCGCGTGTAACTACATTCGCGACATGACCGTTGGAGGAGCTTGAGTAATTTAGCGAAAGCGAAATCCCACGCTCGCGTCAAACGGCGGGAGCGCTTGATGGGGTGCTGCGATGGACGCCCGATGACGTCGTAACGGCGAACGAGTGGCACTGCCGTTGTGATGGCTATCGGGAATCCCCTCCTGTTGGCCTTGGAAGAGTCTCGCGACGGCCTTCGCGAGGTCAGGTGATGGGAATCCTGCGTTTATCGTGCATCTCTTCGATCGCTCGGGGCATCTGGCGGAGACTGATTTCATATGCATGGTGCGTTTTTCGACTGCGAAGTTGGTACAGCGGCCATCCGAAGTTGCGACATTTTGCAGGGTGAAAACGCGGATGTAATTGGACGTAGTTTTGGGGCAGACAAGCACACACACGTTCACGTAGCCGCACGCGCATGCAGACACACGCGCGCACACAAGCACATGCACGCGCAAACGCGCACACACACACATTCACGCACACACGCGCGCACAGACGCAAGAAAACAAAACGAAGCATGCGTTCCGAACCTTTCTAAACCTGACTGATATTAAGATTTTTCGACGATGCCCGCGAAGTTTCTAATTAAGACAATCTTTTTATTTTCACAAATTAAAGTTAATTGTGAAAATTTAATTAGGCGCTTAATTATCCTACACGGCAGGTATCTGAATGAAATGGGTTATTGATCAATACGATACTTATCATCATACATTCGTGCGATGCGCGTTCTGTTTTACACGCAATTTTGGTCGATGATCGATGAAATAGGCGGTACAATCGGCCGACGTCCGTCGCAATATTTGGTATTGGTCCGCGCCTCGATGAAAGAGAGAGAGGAGGGACGAGAGAGATCGAAGAGAAAAAGCGCTGATTCGCCCATTTTTCTCTCGGAGTTGGCACACATACAACAATAGGTACCTGCGTAGTTGTAGTGCCGTCCGTTGTGTAATCCTGGCACGCGTGTACGCACTGGTACGTAACGCACTGTGCATATCACTCGTCGACGAACTACGAGCTTTTTGCTTTGTCACATCGCGAATTCTGCTCGAAAAGCAAAACAAAAATTGTTATGACTCGTTACAATGTCAGCCATGGCCCAGCATATTTAGGCATGCGTGGTGCCCCAACTGGTGCCCCATGAGTGCGAGCGCGTTCAGCTTGCGCGTGAATATAGCTTTGGCAAGCTTGAAACTGCACGGGCTTGTCCGCACGAGCGGAGACATGGAGGCGTCCAGTTTTATTCTGCCCAAATCAGTGTTTTACGGAACGGCGTTCCTGGAACGCGTTCCTTTTAGGAGAAACGAGGGAACGCCGCCGTTCCATTTTTAATCGGTGGAACTGAAACGGGAACTCGTTACATTTTTACTGGAACGGAAAGAGGAACGGCGTTCCCTTTTTTCTTTTTTCCAGTGGGGTATTTTTTTATATAGACGGAAATTATAGAAGTACAAAAACAATATCTTTATGAAGAGCAGGATTTCGTTAAATGTTTTGTTACTTAGGGTTTATTTTGTGTGGCCCTCGCTTGGCAACAGTCGGGTGCAGGAGAGCTAGCGAACACCGATTCTTTTTTCAGTGCCCGGGACTGTGGTACAAAAAGCGAAACCTTTAGTCGAAGGAAAAGGCACAGAAGGAGAGACATTTCAAACTCCAGCTACTTCCTTTGCTTCTACGAAACCTCATACACTAAGAAATGCGAGGTCGACTACAGCCATCACTGAACTTCCACAAAGAGACCTACAGCTACGACAAAAGAACAGTTTACCAGACATTGAACGCATCCTTGTATGCTCTATCGGTTAGATCATCGCCAGCAGGCAACTTGGCAGCACACTGTGATAGGTGCGGTTGCAAACCCGTTCTTTTAAGACGACACAGTCAACAGATGACTAGAGAAATTTTAGAGGCATTTTATATTTCGAAGCAAAAAGGTGCGTCAGTTCGTCTTCCATCGTTTTATTTGACAATGAGTTGGCATTATTGAGCAAATTTGACACGTGCGGAGGAAGGGGGGGGGGGGAGGGGGAGGAGGGGTGTGATTTGATGTGTTTTTATGATCCGTGATGCTTGTCGATTTGTGTTTTCTTACAATTAATCAGTTGAGAGTCAGCGCTCGGTTTGTACACTTCGTCTTGTCCTCCGTTGGTTTGGCGCTGTTTTACTTTTCGTTAATCAAGCCCGCTTGTATCCCGAACATCGGTCACTTAAGCGATACACAAATATTAACCTTTAATATCCCCCCCCCCCCCCCCCCCCCCCGGCCTTCAAAAAAAACAAACAACATTTTGCTTGATTTAATTAAATGTGGTAATTAGCACAATACAAAAGTAACGTATATGTAACGATACGTTCCATTCTTTCTTACTGTAACGGGAACGAGTTCTTTTTTCACGCATGGAACTTGTAACGGGAACGCGTTCCAAAAAAGCAGAATGAACAAAAAACAAGCTTTTGTTCTTCTTTTTTTTTTTTTTTTTGAGGAACGTGTACACCACTGGTCCAAATCATAACAAAAAAACACACTCTATTTGCCGTGGTAGATGTTGTAGTGGTCTAGAGCTCGGGATATTCTATTTTCATCATTCAGCCTTTTTTTACTGCAGAACAGCAGATCACCATCCCAGCGCTTCGAAACCTGAGCGCCAAAAGTGTTTATAGGCACGACCACGCGTGCCACGTTTTCAAGCTTTGGCAATATATTCCTAGGAATATCACTTCACCGAATGAACACAAGGCGTGAAACAAGCTTTGCCGCGCGTTACCCCAACAGCGGATGAGGCGAACTGACGAGCCGGGGGATCTAAGATCTGCCCGGTCTGTCCTACCCGCGACGTCACAAACGTTGATGATGATGATAGCGAGAGAAGCGCCCCCTGTATTTGCGCACGCCGCCAGTAGTGACCCGAGTGACACAAATAAAGCGAAGAAATCGTGGAACGAGGGGAAAGAATGAACACGAAAAAGGGCATGGTAGAACATCGTTGGTACGACTGAAGAGAGCAGCGGCTAGCGGGAAGCGAACTGCGGGTCTGTTTCATTATGAACCCTCTTGGATGTTCGCGGACCCCTGTGTTGTATGGAACGCGTTCCAAGGAACCACGTTCCTGGAACGCGTTCCTCTTAGAGGGAACGGAGGAACGCCGCCGTTCCCTCTTGCGTCGGTAGAACCTACAAACGAACTTGTTACGTGTTCGCGGAAACAGCAGGAAGACGTCTGAGGATATTTGTCTGTGTGTGTCTGTGTGTCTGTTTCTGTGTTTTAAAAGTATATTTCTCTTTAAACGCATGTCGCATGCTCTAGTGTTTTTGTTTCTTGAGTAAGATTGCTGGCATGAATAGAAGCTCGTTAAGATCTGTGCCGTCATTCGTTTTTTCTCATTTCAAAATTAATTAGCCATGCGTATTGCTAACTAGCGAACTGCCAACTCACCTTGTTAAAAAAAAAAAATTTTTTTTACTCAGTTTGTTTTGAAAACTTTGGGACCCTCGCCTGAATATACTTTGTATTGTACTAAGACCATTTGTACCGAAATAAAGTTTGACTTTGACTTAAAATGTGGGGGAAGTCTGCGAGAGATAGTCGAAAACAAAGAACTGGAATAAATATGATCGTGGCAACTGGATACATAGTTTGATGCTGATATTTTCACTCGCTTCTTTTTTTTTTTTTTTACTGTGGTTTACCTAGTACAATATTTCATTAAAATATGCGTAACGTAAACGTAACGACACGTTCCATCTTCGAGATATCACGGGAACGCGTTCCTTTCGAACCGCTGGAACTTGTAGCGGGAACTCGCTCCAAGATTGAAAAGGAACAAATGGTATTACACTCATCCGTGCGAAAAAATAAATAAATAAATAAAATAAAGCGAGGGAAAGGTAGACGTTGTGGCTATCACTTTCTTTATTTCTCCTCTGGGGCTTTCGTCACAACCCTAGTTTTAGCCAGTAAAACCGTCTGCCCGCACTGAAAAAAAAAAAAAAAAAATGAACATTTAGATTTGTTTTACTGTAGGCCTGCAGCTGTCTCTGTCCAGCCCCACATAAACTCTTTTTGTCAACCTCGTGATTTTATTACAGACGTCGGAGCTTTCCCCGTTTAAAGCACGCGCCATTAAGCATTACGAAGATAACAAACAGAAAAGAAAGGAGCAATTGGTGGGAGAGGCGACCGTTTGGCTTCTGGCGAGCACTGGGTGGGGAGAGAGAGAGAGGGAAAGAGGGAGGGACGGGACGTGCATATCAAGTAGGCACAGGAAAATCATGATACGAGAGGGTTTTTCCTCTTGCTTTCTATTTTCGTTATTCCTTCTCCACTTTTGCGTTTTCCTTCTCTCTGCCGGTATGAACTCTCCCAGCTCTCCTTGACTCTCCGCAGCCAGCATTGGCGTCACTGACCTCCTTTCTCAGACAATCGAGTGTGCTGGTGCGCTCCTGGGTACCGGTGGACACATCTTGTCCGTCGCCGGTCCAGCACGTCTGCAGTATCTCGCTGCCGACAGCGGTCTCACTGTGTATTTATTGGTAAGCGCGCTCTGTTTGTACGAGACTGCAGGCTCATCGTCTGCTCTTCGTCGTCTGCTTGCAACGGTCGTCTGGTATTCGTCGTCTGCTACAGAGGAAGCGTTTTTGTTCTCCTACTTTTTCTTTTTGTTTTCGCGGATGTGCCTTCCTCGGCCTTGAAGAGCTGCGGTTATGGATTGCGATCCAGAGTGAGTACAAAGACCTTTCTGTTTTAGATGCATTCGTCCCATTGATTTTAATTAAACGAAATGCTGCCACGTTATCCGTCAAACGACACTGAGACTAGAAAATGTTTAACATAGCAGCGCTGTTTAATGAACATCGTGCGAAACCAACTAGCTGATTCAGTCTTCCTTAAACCTCATTCGTCCTAATTAGAGAGTTGTAGTAGATCGTTTTTCTCCTCCGCTACGGTATCCCCGGAGAAAACGCCGCAGCTGCGCATGCGCGCCGCCAGCCTTGTCTGCATAGTTCAAGGTCTTGTGGCGGATTACGGAGCGCTATCCGGGTGCTTAGCGGGCTGCGGGAACGGTCTACTACAATTCCCTATTGTTAATGAACATTTCACGTCGTCCACTCATCACCGTGTTACAATAAAAAGAAGCGGAAGCTTTGGATGTTGGTTTGTTCCCACAATTCGTGTCTAAACGTTTGCGTACTACAATTCTGAATTGGAGCCTCAATGTGGTACGAACCCCGAGTGTTTGATTGTTTATACTTAAAATTGCAAGAATAAAACACGAAGGACGCAAGGAAGATACCGCTACTGCGGCTGCGCGCCGATGGCCTTGACTGTAGAGTTCCGGACATCGTAGCGGGTTGCAGAGAGCGTTGCAGGACGGCGGAAACCATCTACGAAAACTCCTAGTGACAGGTCAAGAGTAAACTGGAAGCTCCTCCCACCTCTTTCCACTTCAGAATAGCGAACGCCGGAGAGGCGGTCGCCTCCTCCCCGGCCTTCGCCCTAGCTCGCCTGCCCTCCAGCGTATCCTTTGTCGGCTGCTGCAGCCGGATTTATACCGGCAGTTCCCACAGTCCTTTAGCATATATCGTGCAGTGTCGCTGAGTGCGCTGCACGATACGCAAAATGTCTATGCAAGTCCTCCAGCGTGATTGCATCCAGCCCCCGCGAGCAGTGCGTTACCGACTCATCAGAGAGCTCGTGCGTTTCGCTGTTGAGGCATCCGACGCGTCCGCCTGGCCTCGGCGTCACTGGATACGGACGGCAGCCGATTGGGATAGCGGTTCGCGCACGTTGTCAGCGCAGTCTAGCCGTCGGCACGCTTCCTGGGGCTCGGAAACGGAGCGTGAAATGGAATTTCAATGGGAGGCGAGCGCGCTGCGTCCTTCCTGTCTTTCGGTCACTTTTCGCTTTCTACCCACCTCGTTTCTCTCGGGTCGACTCTTCTTTTGTGGGTAGGCGGGCTGACGCTTTTTTTTTTCTTACTTTTTAGTGTTTTCCTTTCTTTCTTTTTTTCTTTTTTTTGCGCCGCGTAACAGAGGAACTGATTAAGTTACTTCCTGACTGCGCCCGCGAAAGAAGATTCCCACGCAATTATACTACAATTTTACGAAGAAAAAAAAAAGAATCCCCGCGGTTTGGTGAATCGCGCTGACAGTCCCTTAACAGTTTTCGTTTCTTCGCGAATACCGAGATGAAACTGACCGCGCCACCGCTAAAGTTGCACCAGTTATTCGAGCGCGACACAACTTCAACGATTTTCTTTTTCCATTTTATTGGTGGGCATAAAAATTTACCAGATACGTTACTATACTCCACCACATTGTTCTAGCGACAGTGCTTCAATACTGAGAGAAGAAGAAAAACCGGGAAAACTGGCAATGACTTGCATGACGTTGGTCATACCAAAACTGTCTGCATAAGACATGTTCGAAAAAAGGCTCATCGTCCTTTCTTTAAACGAACGATAAGCCTTTTTTTTTTTTTTGTCGTGTGTGTATGACGGTTATATTTTATTTTCGTCTTTGTGAGAGGTCACGGGCGTGGCTTTCTTCGGCGTCTTTTGTTTTCCCCAAACAATGGGAAACGAGAGTGCCAACTCGGTCGGTCGAGACTGGGTATGATTGAGTGGGGGGGGGGGGGGGGGGGGGGGGGTCGGGGTCGTGTGACGTCACTCGCGGGATTGATTCCTTCGGGTTACCGACTGTATGCAAATTCGCGAGGGTTTGCAAGGACGATCCCCCGCATCGAAGAGGAGCCTACATGCCTACACGAGCCAGTCTCGCGCGAGAGGAATAAAACGGTGCGCTATCCTGCGTGGGCCAGGCGGGTCGAACCTACTTCGTAAGCGCTCTAAGACTTTCCGCAACGGTGCGGCTCAGATGTGCAGTTGTCTTTGCGAAGATGGTGGGAGAAAACTCGCGTGCCTTGGTCAGAAGTTATACGTATAAAGCTGCCAGATTAGTCCAGTGAACCGGTATAAAGTTAAACCTTTGCTAAATACCAAATAATAAAAAAAGAAGGTTGTTTTATGGGAAGTTTGATTTAACTTATATATTGAGAAGGGAGCTGAATACTTAGGATCGTTCAAGCGAGTTCCTATCGCGTATTCGGTGCTTGTGATTTGCGTGAAATACCATTCGCGCTTTTTCAACGTCACATCTGACGCAAAGTTGTGCCTTTCGACGTCCCTGTGACCTTGACACGCACCATGTCGTCGTCGGCTTGTTGTGTCATCAGTTCCAACCCGTTTCGTAATTGTCGCAAAATTAGTACGCGGATAAAGCGTTTCGTTTTTGAAACACGCCTGGAATTGAGTCTGTCGACGAAAAATGAGTTCACCGCAGCGTAGATTCTTTAGAAACGATTAAAAGGAACATACATTGGCGTTGAAAAGCTTCGGAGTCGCCGTCTGGCGGATTTTTCTCGCGCCTTGGAGTGAGAATACGTGCATCTTCTGCTGCGAGTGAATGGTGTACGATACGCCATACTTTATATGCCGTGCTTCCAGATACCAGAAAGGTCAATTCAAAGCTATCTAGAGCTGTTTCGGTGAGATTGGATCACTCGTGGTAGTCTGTCGAGAGTTAGAGAAAATGTTATGTTCTGGTGAGTTCGTTAAATTCGCTCGATTGCAACGAAACTCCAGAAAATACACTAAAAAAAATCGCTCACCGATAGGCTATTAAAAGTGGACGTCGGACTGATTGACGGGCTTATCTAGGATTGTCATTCTTGAAAAGGGGTAGAGAAGAGGGGGGGGGGGGGGGGGATCAGGTAGGTATATTATAAGTGTCTGTGCTTTGTTTAGGAAATTCTGCGAATTCAATTGTTCGGGATGTTTGTGTAAACCACTGCTCCTAAATAGGCGTATTATCGAGACGATATCCACAGCGCGCTTTATCGGCGAGAAAAAACAAAACAATATTTTCCTACTTTTTTTTATTTTTGATTGTGATTATTCTTTTGCTTACAGTGTACTGGTTTGGCGGTACTCGGTGCGCCAGTCATCTGTCACGTGATCTAGCATGTGATCACTCACGTACACGGGCTGCCGTTCGACCCCTCTCCCCACCCGATCCCCACGGAGACCACTCTTGCCTCTTGAGAGCCACTTAACTGTCACACACGGTCTTCTACTGTTTGCCGTCCTGCGACCATGACCCACGAACAAAGAAATATAGTAGAAAAAAAAAAGCTTGGGCGATCGCAGGTACGGGGCAACGTTTGCAAGCTTGGTCAAGGACGTCAATCGGGCCGATTGAACGGGAGCTTTCGGAGAAATGACACGGATCGAGCGCACGCGGCGGTAGCTTGAAAAGTACGCGGAAATGCGACCCCAGCGCGGTAGAGGAAAAATACCAGGCGTGTCCGACATAACGTAATATAATAATACAGAGTGCCCCAAAAACATATTAACAACTTTGATGACTAATATCTCGGAAACGAAAAAAGGTAGAAAGGTGCAGTTTGCAGTAGCATGTTAAGGAACACCTAAAACTTAGCCAGGACCTTCGTGCTCGGATAAGTGCTGCGATCGCGCAGGTTGATGCGGGCATGCTGAGCCGGACCTGGGCGGAAATGGACTGATCTCCCGCGTGCTACTGATAGAGCGCACATTAAACTTTGATAAGTGGCTACGATAAACCTTTAAGTGTTCTCTAACATGTTTTGCTGCAATCCACACCTGTCCGCCTCTTTTCGTTTCCAAGATATTAGTCATTAAAGTTGTAAAGACCTTTTTGTTGAAACACCCTGTATAATGCGAGAGTAGCGTCTGTCTGTGGTGGGCTTCTCCGGCCGAGAGTTAGATACGCACGTTTGGTTCCCGGCCAGCGTGCAAGCAGCCACACGTCAGAAGCTAGTCTGGCCGATGGAAAATGCATTGTTTTCACGCCAGTCTGACAACTGTGGGCACACCTTTGCGCTGACCAGAGGAAAATTGGCGACTCGAGAGCCGGGAGGAGGAGGAGGAGGAGGAGCAGGGAGGGAGGGAGGGGAAAGAAAAATGTTTCTAGTTTTTTTTTTCGTTTTTTATTATCTTTTAAAGGGGTTTTGCAGTCATATTTAAGCGTCTACCCTTTTTTGTGGTTTCCCCGTCTCTTGGGGTTCGGGCAAGCCAGCGGGTAACGATAGAGTAACTAAATATCAGTGCGTCATATTTTAACCGGACGACGCGGGAACCTCCTCCACCTACGGGGGCGACCCGTGGTGCCGAAAGCGCGCAAAATGTGAAGTCTTTGGTCCTGGGCTTACTACTGGTCAGAGCCGCTAAAAGCTTCTTTTTTGTCGAAATACAAAATAGAAGTGGCGCGAACCGTTTCAATTATTTATAAAAGTAGTTTTGTTCGGTATTTCAGATCAGAAAATAAACTAATGCAGTTTATAAAGTACGGAAACAAGAAATGACCCGTCGACATACCCGAAACCAAGCGGTGGAAAAGGCGGCGCATACTAGAAAGGTGTAGTGGGATCAGGCACCAACGAGCGGTGAGCGTAGAAAGGTCCCGGATGTACGCGGCGGCGCTGCGGTCGTAATACGGGCTCGAGGATCCGACCGGTTCCGAGCGTTCCGAAGGCCTCCGGCGAGCAGGTTTGGCTGTTTGGTGGTATGGCAGCGCGAAATGGCTCCCGTTCTGAAGTGATCGTTAGCCCGTGTTTGTTGTCGTTTGTGGCCAATGAAGTGTCATGCCGAATCAGTGTTTAATCGCGCAGCAAATACAATGC